GTTTAAAAATGTATTATACGGACGGGGCCATTTTATTTACATGCAAAGCATTCTGGATAAATGATGATGTGGATAGGTCCTCAGTGTGAGGCTGCTAGCGAGCTATATCCACCCTGAAGGTTAATCTTGGACAATATCTGATGATCGACTCTTTTAAATGAAACCAGAGAGCGTTGACAGAGAGGAGAGGGTAGAAATGACTCAACTTGTAACGGAAAATATGGATGGAGGACCTCAGTTTAGCTTCTTAATTTGTCGCGCTAGCGCCGAGCTAATACATATAAGGCAGTATAGCGTTGGTGCTAGCGCGAAGGCTTACAGGCTAAGCTGAGGGTCATCTTCCATGAAGCAGCTCTGATGTCCTCCATCCACATTTTTAGTTGTTGACTGGACTGTTTCTACCTTCTCCTCTCTGTCAACGCTCTCTGGTTTCATTTAAAAGAGTCGATCATCAGATATTGTCCAAGATTAACCTTCAGGGTGGATATAGCTCGCTCACACCGAGGACCTATCCACATCATCATTTACCCAGAATGCATTGCGTGTAAATAAAATGGCTCCGTCCGTGTAATATATATTTTTACTTTTAGTGTAAAAATGATAAAAACTAAACATCCTACAGTATTGTACAGTCTTTATTTTACAATTAAAATATGTTTATTAAATAAAGTCTAATGTTACAACCAATCGTGTATCCCTTTAAAAGATGTTGCAATGTGGACACGATGAGACCGTGGCACACAAGCCTTTTAGCACTTTTTCAGACATTTTCAGCTGATTTTAGATTTTTCAGCTTAATTCACTTTTTCATGATAATTTCATGTTCTTTACTGCTTAATTTAGCGAATGTGCTCTTTCTGCTAATTTCAGCTTTTTCAGCTACTTTTGCTATTTTACAAAAATATTGCAATTTTTTTTGACCTGGCTGTTTTTTTCCACTTTTGTTRTCCTGCCTTTAGCAATAGCGCAATGTTCAAATTTAACTCTCAAGTTGAGCTAATAAACTTTTTCAGCTTGACTTCAGCATGCGTTAATCAGCAGTAAGCATTCACACACACGCCTCTCCTTCCTCACAGATTCTGTAGTCCTTATTTATCTGCAGTCTTAGTAAATAAGTACATTGTTTCAAGTTGAGTATGAACTGGAGCTAAAACATCTTTCTTTTGCTTCAGTCTTTTTTTATTTTAGATACAGAGTTTTGGCCTGTTTTGTTAGATTTAACATCTGGTCACAGCAGGTAGCTCACAAGCGACTGTACACCTGTTGTGATTTTGAATGGAACAGCTCCCAGATTGTCCCTCTTCCTGCTAGAAAAGAACCCCCGCCAGAGAACATTTTGATGCACACACAAATAAAACTTGGATCAGTCTTCCTCCAAAAGGGATGTAGCAATATGAATAATCCAAATTATGCATGCCAAGAGAATATAATCTCCCTCTGTGTTGTCTGTTTTTTTTTTTAAATTCTTCCTCTGGTTCTCATAAAATCTTTCTGATCCTCTTTTTGTCTTCTTCGCCCACATTTATTTCTTCATCCTTGTCCTTCTTTCCAGTTGTTACAGGCTTGCGTGCAGAAAGCCCAGACGAACGTGCCAGAGTGGATTTTACTACAGCTATCAGGTCTGTCAGTGCATCCCCAACTACATGAAGTGGAACTAAGAAGCCGGAGGAGTCAGGGAGAGGGGCAGCCGCTGCCATGTATTGACCTTTTGACCTCAAAGCTGAGCTGACAGAAACTAAAAGGGGTGGGAGTGCCTCCTGACTGGAAGGGAGGAAGAGGATCTATATTTATAAGTGACAACAGCTCACAATAAGCAGCACTTGAGGGAGTTTTGGGCTGAGCGATGTGTCGCTCAAAGGATAATCTGAGCACTTCCTGGTACAACAATGCTGCAAACAGCCAGTAAAATGAGGAGATGTATTGACTCGGGGACTGTCCCTTCGTGTCTGCCCTCTTTCCTTTCTTACGAACACAATCACCGTCGGGAAACGGCCTTGAGACTGCCTATTGTTGGACCACAACAAGGCATGGACAGACCGACTCTATGCAAACCAGGCATTTATCCCGCTGCAACGTGTCGCAGCAAGAAGAATGCCAACCGCCGAGCTGCTGTGGAGGTGCTGCTCATGCCTGAGACATGGAATGTGAAACCAGATAATAATAATAACAGACCAGTCTCTGAGCTTTTCCAAAATAAATAAAATAATCTTTGTGTGCAGAGGCCTTAAAAAAAGAAAAAAGAAATCTATAAAATAAAGACTGTGTGCATAAATCAAGCCAACTGATCTGTTTAGTTTAATTGTTTAATCAAAAATCAAAACTGAACACTTTTTTATTTTTTTGTTCCGATTTCACCTGACTTTGATAAATCCAGTCAGAACTGAACACTACTAATTTATCTTTGCATACTCCAAATATTTTTATATATATATTTAATGTATTTTTTTCTTTTTTTTTCTTTTTGTTGTATTTAAAGCAATGACATTTTGAAGACTGAATTGTAAAATACTGTATTTAAAGCCACAATAACTATAGAGAACAACTATATGTTTTGAGGTAAAACACTTTACATCTTTTAACTTTTATTTGTTGTTTTTTATGAGTTTGCCTGCACTGCTGCTTATACATTCAAAAACAGGCCACTTGGGGGTCACCTAAACACTTAGAAAACGTAGTTCTGAGTTCAGAATTACTCTACATTTTGAGATGAAGAGTCATTGCAGTGCAGAGATGATTGCAGTGTACGTGCTGTAGGGATTTAAATAAAAAGTTTCAATATATTGATTAAAAGCTCATTTCTGTCAAGCTGGTGGTACTGTTTTTAAAATATGTATTTTAATGAGGAATAAGCCAAACAATGAAAAAAATTTTTTTATTCATTTCGTCCAAATGTGTAGGATTATTCTAAATGTAAAGAAACATTTTTTAAAGTTTTTCTCGAAATATCTCAGACAAATATTGCACAAATTTATCCTAAAACTCTATTTGCAACACGCACTGTGGGTAAAAACTTCGACTTCCCTGTTTCTTCCTCTGCAGCCGTTTTGGTTTACAAACACGAGCAAAAAGCTCACCTTTCTGGCCATCTGCCTTTTAAAACACCAAGGCTGAGGAAGGGATCTGGGGAAGTAGGGGTGCTGTGCGGAGGGTGCTGCAGCATCAAAACCATTCAAACAGATTTTACTGGTGATGCATGTTTACATCTCATTAACACCTTGACACTGAGTTTGTAAATCTGTGATATAAGCCAGTAGTTACTGTACAGCCAGGGCCGGCCCTAGGCAAAGTTTTCAGGTGGGGCCCCTTGTGGAGTTTTTTTTTTTTAAATCTCACTGTTACTTTACATCCATTCATGTACAAATAGTTTTGTCCTCATTAATTTTTTAATCTTTAGAAACCAGGTTGTCCAATTAAAATAGTCAACAATATAAGTAGTTTGAAACAAAATACCAGAAGTTTATCTCATACCTGCCAACATCAGCTGACAGCAATGAGGAACACCTGTTTATGTGAACCAGCAGCCGTGGAGTGAAGCAGTGCCAGTGGAGTCCAGGAGGATACTCCCCTGGAAAATGTTGTAAAAGATCTAATCATAACTGTGCATTCTCCAGCCACTTGAAGAGCATTTTACTAAAGCCTTGGAATTAATAAAACAAGTGAGGTTGTTTAAAGAGATGTCTACAACAGGTAAGATATTGTTTACATTTCCAAAGCTCAAAAGATCTATCATCTTTTTAATATCCTCATCATTCAATTAATCAGACACAAACATGATTAAATTTTAAAGCTTTTTTAAGGTATTAAATATACTGGTTATTAGTTTTTAATAATTGCACAACTTTTACTGTTGATAATCTGAGGTAAAATCAAGGATGGCAGCCTGTCTGGCTTTATACTTCTACTGCCAAACTGACCCACGTAAAAATGTTTGTAAACATTATTGATATTATGGGTTAATCCTCCATTTACAACATAATCTATTTCTGTCTTCCTCTAAAGCTTTCTAACAGTGCTGCATCTCATCACAAACATTCAGTACATCCTATTTAAACACAGAGGAGACCAAAACTGTAACAATTTCAAACATTTTATTTTGTTTCCTTAATGAACAAAATATAAACTCAGCTCCTGCATMCCAATTTTATAATCAGGCCACTGAAACTCTTCAAATAGTTTTTAAAAAAGATAAAAAATAAAACAAATAAATATAACCTGCTGCTGCTGCTCATAAAAGACACGTGCCGCCTCACGGTGACACTGAAGCAAATCCTAGATAAGAAAATTCACTTAATAAAGTAATTACTTTATATTGAAATGACAAAATATGGTAATGTGAGGAAAACAATGCAAGCCAGGAAGTCGCAAACAGTGAATAATAAAAATAAAACATGTATCAAAATACAAGGATAAATTTGTGCACAAACTGTGGTTTGATAAATGAACTGAGGCCACTGGCTGAGATTAAGCGTAAATATCATTGAATCTATATAGCAGTTAATGAAATAAAATAGCTTTGAAGTTAGAAAGCATGTGGATGCAAAAATAAAATAAGCAAACTGTCTTTAGATGCCCCTAAAACCTGAATGAAAGTACTGTTTCCATTTTGAGGGGATTAAGATTGGTGCACACTGACCCCTACTGGTTACTCATTGTAAGAGCAAGCAGCTTTAGGTAAATAAGCCCCATAAGGAACTTCTTTATATACAATTAGTATTTAAACAAAATTTACAGATAAAAAACTTCTTAAAGAAGACTTTTATACAGCAATCTTACATCTTCTGGGGTTTAAAAAAATGTCAGTGACCTCCAAATGGTAAAACAGTTTGAACCTTTCAATGAGTTGTTCATTCCACAAGCCCAGAAATCAGGTACAAATCAGATTCTCATGAGTGCAAAAAGCAACCAATGTATGGCTTACTGTCATGAAAAGTTGTAGATTTGCTTGTGTCAGTTTGTTTTATTTTTCTCCGCAGATTTTGACAGTCCAAACTGCCTAATCTTTGTACAAGAGGGTGCAGCTGGAAAACAGTACAGCGGTTCCAGAGCAGGCACTTCAATTCGAGCTGTCCTTTGAGCCATCTGACTGGGGTTCAGTTCAGTGGTTTCAGGTTGTTGTTGTTTTGCGTGTCTCCACTCTCCGGCGAGGCTCGACAGACACACGCTGCAGGAAAACTGCTGGGAACCATGGAAGTTTTGAGTCCGCAGACATGCAAGTCTTCAACCCAGACGGCACTGATCTGTTGAGGTACGGTTCATCCTTGGGCAGCAAAGCAGGTCCACGGCTCAGCTTACCTTCCAAAACCTCAGTGGACTTCAACATTAACAGTTACCTGAAATGGCACAGAACAAGTTGTGAGAATAGGGTAACGTCTGCTAGACATAGGCTTTTCAGAGATGGCTCAGATCGCTCACTCACCCTCATCATCAGAGTCAAATCCAAACAGGTTGGAGCACTTCTGCCCCTCCACGTGACTCTGCAGCTCCTCGGCGCTGTTGAACGTCGTGAAGCAGTTGGCACATCGTTGCCTCTGAGGAGCCGTTTGCACGCAGACCGGCTCAGGGGAGACCCCTCCAGGGCACCGCCGAGGGAACAGCTCCTTCCTTCGCTTTGGCATGGTGGTGTACTTTTCATCCAGGTACACGGTCGGTGGCAAACGCATGTAGGGCTTCTTACCGTACTCGGCCAGAGTCTCCTTGCACAGTTTAAAAGTGACATCTTCACTCGCCGCGTCTCTGCTCGGGGTTTGAGAGCAAGCACTGACTGAAGAYGATTGTGTTTCTGGTGGATTTTTGCCCTCACCTTCAGAGCTCTCTCCTGAACCTGGTAGGGCTTCGGTTGAAGGTTTTGCATCATGGTTTTGGCGTTTTTTCTTGGCAAGCTTTTTTGCGTCATCCTTACGAAGGTTTTTGCGCTTCCTACCTACTTTGCCAGACTCCGACTTCTTTTTCTCAACACAGGATTTCTTAACATTTCGGTCAACCTCTGGCTCCTTTTCTTCTGGGGCAGAGGAGGAACTCGTCCTACCGTCAGTTTTCTCAGGTGTGATTGGAGGAGAAGCACCTGAACCCTCTTTTCGTTTTTCTTTCTCATCAATGGTGCTCTTTATTAATCTTTGTAATCCCTGCAATATCATCGCCGCTCCTTTAGTTTTGTCCTGTTTGGGGTCACACTTTAAATTAGAAATGGTCTTTAACGTGGAAGTTTTGACTTTGTTTTCCTCCAGTGATATCTTTGTCTCTCCTCCTTCCTTCACGGTTTCCTGTGTGGTTGGTGGTGTAACGAGAACAAAACTACCAGAGTCCGTTGGAGCATTCACCTGCTCACTTGCAGACTTTACTGTCTTTTGTGGGACGGCAGTTTTGGACCTAACAGGCTTTTCCGAGGCYGATGTAATGTGTTTTTGCCTGGTTTTGATGGTCTTCTTGCTTATTTTGACTTTTGCAATTTTGTTTTTCTTTGACTTGCCCGAGTCTGAAGGAGAACAATTTTTGATCCTGTGAAATGTCTCCATTTTACCATCGCTTGACTTTGTTTTTTCTGAGACAGCAGACTGATTCAAACGGTTACTTGAAGATATTTTACGTAGATTTCTTTCAATCTGCTTTCCCTCTGGCATTTTTAACTTTGAAACATTATTTGTCTTCTCTGTAGTTTTAACTTCATCCTGGGCTTTTTGATTCTTCTCTTTTCCAACTTTTAGCCTGTCACTGACTCTTATATTCACAGTATCTTGAGAGGAGAGACTTTTACCAGTAGTCTTTTTGTCGTGTGTTGCTTTACTCACTTTGGAAGGGTGCTCTCTTCTTAGGAGACCCTTTGTGTTTACCTGCTTTTTCTTAAACTTGCACCCCAGCTTGCTGCGGTATTTCAACAATGACGAGGAGATGATTTTATTAACTTTGGGAGCATCCCTATTTGGGTTTGTTACTTGGACTTTTCTTAATGTTTGCCTTAATCTAAGATTAAAAGCAGGAGGTTGAACAGAAGTGTCCTTATTAGAAAGATTTGTCAACACCTTTAGGTCTACACTCTCATTTTTTAATTTTACCTTGTTTTTCACAAGTCTTGTGCTAGCAGACGCTGCTGGACCAGCTATATTTTCTCTTGTAGAGTTATCTGTTGTCTGTTCTTTTAACCTATGTGTAGCCTTTATGCTTTCTGTATCACTTCCAGCTGTGGACTCTGTGTTGTCTGAAATCTGAGGTTTCTTACAAAGTTTGTCATCAGCTCGCACATTTGCGTCCTTCTCCGGTTTAACTGACTTAGAAGAATAATGCTCCCTTTCATGAAGGTTCAGCGCCCACAGACAGATAAACAGTTGGGGACATCCAGGGAGGCAGCACACCGCCTTAAGCGGGCTGTGCTTCCTGGCGTGGCGTCTCATTTCCATTCCACTTTTGAACCTTTCTGTACAGCCGAGATGAAGGCAGGGATGCCGTGGAATGAGTCTGTGTCTTTCAACGTGGTGCTGGAAGTGTTCAAAGCTGAATAAAACCCTCATGCAAATGCTGCATTTATTATCTGCGACACGGAAAGCCAGCTCCAAAGGTTTGATCTCACCATGATGCTTTTCCAGAGCGTGGTACAGAAGCGTAACCCGGTTCTTCGACAGGTCTGTGAACCAARAGCATCCATCCACGGGACAGCAGAGTTTCTCTGGTGGTTCCATGTTTTTCTTTTCAGCAACTTTTTGGTTCAAGGTTGATTTCAGATTTTGCGATGATTCTTTTTTCTTGGGATTTTCTCTGGAGTTTAAATCTTTAACTGTCTGAACTGAAGAATCCTCCTCAGGATGATTTCTTTTCAACCTTGATGTTTTGCCATGCTTACTTTGAGAGCTCTTTTGCTGCACTAATTCTGTCTTTGGATTTAAATCTTTTTTCAGTTTGGTAATTTCAGTCTCTTTGCCGATGTGGCCATTTACCCTGTGAGCAGCAGCATTCCCATCACAGTGCTCTGATGATCTTTGTTTGTCTTGTAATGACGTGTCGCTTATTTGTTTGTGATTAGATCTTAACATTCTASATTTGGATGGGTTTAGGTTTATAATGCTTTCAGAACAGACACTGAATTTCCTCTCTTTCCCTTTACCCTGGCACCCAGAATGCATATTTGTCGTCTTTGCTTTGGCAGAAGATTTAGGAGTGGCGGTATCTTTGGTGACAGAGACGCCATTTTCTTGATCTTTGCACCTCTTTAGCTTTTCGATATGATCAGACAGGTGCATCATGGCCAGCAGGTCATCTTTGAAGATCAACCTACAGAAAGTGCACTCATCTCTTCGATAATGGAACATTGCATGCTCTACCACACGGGGTCCCTTAAAGTCCTTATCGCACAACGTACAATAGTGCTCCAACTTCGATTCTTCTGGTTCTGGTAGCGTCTCCATGAGCTCACTGTTTTCAGCTATATCTGAAAAAGCATCCTGTGTTGTTGTTACATTTTCCTCTTGCCTGTCAGCTACAAACACGGGTTCTATTGATACAGAGCTCCTAGAGGTAGTTGGTATTTTCTGACCGGCTTTGTGTTGACTTCCACCTCTTGAGTCTTTGGAGGCCCTGCTGCCAGGAGTTTGGTGCTCATCTTCTACCTGATCGTCATCAAGCTCCTTGGGTGCATGACCAGTAACAGTCGGAGCAGACGTGCCACTTATTATAGCTTTGTCAGTAGAAGTGCATGAATCTATTTTTTCAAAGAGTTTACGTGGATGGACAATTTTTACAGGACTAGTGTCGTTTTTACAAGGCACGTTGACTTGTGGGGTTTTCTGTAAATCCTCTGTGACATCCATCATGGAAATATTACCACCATTTGAGTCCTTCTCACTGCGATCTGTACTTTCGACAGCAACATCTTGACAGTTTGAGCGAAGAGGATCTGCAGCTTCAGTGTTTAAAACATTGGGGCTGATGGAAACTGGATGAATTTCATCAGAAGCTTCCTTCTTATTCTTGGCTGCCTTTGTGGTTTGCGATACTTGGATTTTGGAGACATCTCCTGTTGAAGACTTGGAGGATTTGTCTATAACTGGAGATTGTGAGGCGATGGTGACTTTCATTTCGACGGCTGGCTCCTCGAAGGTCTCTCCTGTTGGAATCATGGTTTGAGCTTGTGAGACGTCATGTAAACATGGGTCTTCTGTAACTTCTGCTACTGCAAAAGTCTGTGATGCTGTTGTACCTTCTATGTGAGTAGAAGAGTTTTCATGTGGATCTCCCGTACAAGCACTGCTTTGCAAAATATTTCCTGTTTGTGGTTGAGGGACACCATGCAAATCTGGAGATTCTGAGACTTTAGTTTCAGTTCTTTCAGAGTTTTCAGAGAGCTCCTCAAGTGAAGGAGTTGTTTGCGCTTCTGGTTTTGTATTTTGATCTTTAGGACCTTTATTTGAAACTTGGGGTCCAGTCTCTTCACCCGTTTGCATAGTACCAACATTCAGCTCAGAAACAGGCTTCTCACCAAGCTCTCCTGGTGAATCCTTTGATGGACTTCCCTGAACTGATGAACGTGTAATTGTTGATACAGACCCGTGGATACTTGAGACATTGCCTTTTCCTTTTTGTCGCCGAGCATAGCAGTGCAGCTGTTGTACAAGCATATTAGCATCTCGGGCTCTGAGAATCACCTCTTTGCCAGTCTTGCCAGGCGGGGAAGTGTCAGGAAATTTCACTGTAGGTTTATAAAGAAGCACCTGAGGAACCATCCTGGGTTTGTTGCAAGCGTCATCGAGGAACGTGTCCAGCAGCTCATTGTCTGGTAGAGAAAGCTCCAGAATTACTTGCGGAGTGGGTGCTGGTTTAGGACAATCTGAAGAATACCCATTCTGGGGCTTGCTGTTTTCTCTCGCCGTGAGCAGAGTCTTTACAGAAGATTTGTGTTTGGTGTCCTTGAACTGACCAGTCTGAGAACTTTTCATGACGCACGATCGAAGGTGCCCTTTCTGTCTGAGTCCATTCTTCTTCATCTTCAGAGGAACGTTCTCTTCAAGAGCTCCCGAGTCTTCCAGGAGCCACCTTGGCTTTTTAATTTTCCGTTTTGGTAGGTTTTTCTCCGAGAGTCTTGTAGTCCGCCTATGGTCATCATACCTTAAGGATAAATTGCTGTGGATTCTGTCCAGCTGCCAAAACGATCGCCTCATATGTCTAGAAGAAGATTCCTTCAAGGTTTGGTTGCTTTTCCTTCTTACAGAATGTTCATTTAGGCGTGTTTTCCCTGTGCCCATTTTGAGTCTTTTGGATGCCATGTCTGAATCCTTTTTATACACTTTTTCTTCCTGATGTCGCTTAGTTGCAAYGTGAAGTTTTTCTCTCGGACACACTGCCACACATGGTCTGAGAGCAGGAACTTTGGTGGGGTACTTGCAGATCCATTTGTCCTCCATTATTTCTTCAAGTGCAGTGCTAACTACCTTCCCACTCAGCAATTTCAAACAGTTGGTCCGCAAAGCAACGAGGTTCCAAAACTCTGGGTCGAAATACAGATCCTTTTTCAAGACCTGAGAAAAGAAAAGAAACATTAAAGTAGTAATTGTATGTCAAGTTTTTAATATGTACAGGTTGGCAGATGCATTTTAGCCATTTAAATATCTGCAAATAAGTCCCGTCTAAATTTTTTACTTGATTTGGGTTATTTAAAAAAGTCAACAATGCATTTTGGGATTCATTATAAAAAAAAGGTAAAAACAGAAGATTGGTGGTTCAAGGTTTAAAGTACACCACCACCCCCTTCACCTGAAGCTCAGTGGCTTCCTATTTGAAAAAGAAGCTATTTTGGCAGCTTGAATTTTCAACCTCATTCTTTCAGTTATTTCACCCATAGTCCTACCATAATTCACAACAATAAGATGAGGGTTGAGCTGCTGATCAACTGGTACAGCTTAGCTCCTCTATTCAGCCCTGCCAACTGAATACTGCGTCCAAATTTCTGCAGACACTGCATCGATCTCCTGCTTTGTTCTTTAATCACTTTTGAATCAGACCCCTGGATACTCTATCTTCTCTTCTTGGAGCAGGTCATTCTGAAGTTACAGCTACACTTTCTTCCAGTTTTTCACAAATTGCCATCTCATAATGGTGGAGAGGTTTGAGTTCCTTTCCCTGGATTTACACTACATGCGACTCCGGTGCGCTGTGGTGCGCAGTTCGCAGCTGTTCGTTTGCAACCCAATTTATACAGCCTCTGTTCCAGTGCAACATGCAGAGGAGGGAGCGTGTACAGGAAGGAGATGATGCAATAAATCCAGTGAAAAATGTGTAAGTCACAGCAAAAAATAATTAATTCTGTGAAAGATGAACTTCAAAGACAGCTGAAAACATTGATATAAAGTCTTTTGATATTTATGGATGAAGCTGTCTTTTTGAAACTTCTGATTTCTAAATAAAATCCACATGTATCGTGTGTGTACACATAAGCTTCATGCTACATGTTGCCATCTACTTCCCAAACAAAACCATATATTCTGACAGCATTTGTGTAGAAATGTATCCATATATTCACTAATATAGCTGCAATTTCGACAAAAATTATGGTGTCTTATTTTGAAAATACGGATGTTGTTCTCGTTCCTCTTCCTGTTGGTGTGACGTAATCTTTAAAAATTGACTCCGGCACATCTCCGGCGTCCGGCAGAAATAGGATCGGATCCAATTTTTCCAGATTGCAGTCCACTCACCGCCGCCGTACGCAGCCAGTGTAAACACTCTCACTGATTAGAATGGGTGTGTAATTGCTGCAGCGGTCGGAGCGGAGCGGAGCAGAGCCAGATCGTATGTAGTGTAAATTAGGGGTTAGGAAACCATGTTGTCAGGTTCAGTTCATACTTGCTATGGTCTCCCATTGTAAAGTGGTACTATGTGAGGGGCTGGAATAAGACGTATTAATGTGTGTATAATGCAAAAAAATTAACCCAAAAAAGTATCCATAAACTTGAGGGGTCGCATTATACACTACTAACACAATATCAATATTTTATTTATTACTAAAAAAAAGATTCTCATGATTTATTCCTCTGCCTTCCCATGGTAGAATACATAATGCACAGCTAAGCATATAAATAGCAGTATTTGTTTTCACTCGATGTATCAGATGTTTGAACAGAGGCTTGCTGGATGAGGAGTTGGAGGAAAAYCTTTTTTTTCTTWACACCGGAGATGAAAAGAAGACGTAGAGCTGCTTCTTGAAGCTTTCCACCTTATTAATTTAACAACCAGCTCCTGCTCTGGGAGTGGCAGATCATTTTCAGAAATCTGCAGCAGCTCATGCTGCACCTCTGCAGCCCCAAATATGTGTCCACAGAATAATCTGCTTCAGCACCAGAGGTTACACCTCAAATGCCTAAAAATCCAGAAGTCCGTATGAAATTAGGGGTAGCATAATACACAAGGATTAGATTTTTATGCTTTTTATGCTCAAACAATGGGGAATCGCATTATAATCAAATCACATTTTGCACATATAAAACAGTAATTTAATTAACCCTTATAATGTAGTCAACAAGGTACTCTGACACCTTGACTTGAAAACAAACACCAGAGCCCTCCCCTGGATCCAGGCTTGTTTGAGTGGCTTGTTGGCAAACACCTAGCAGTGGCACATGAAGGTCCAGATATCCAGATTTCAAATGATTACACAGGACCATCCTTCTTTTGKAGCCAACCTCTAAAAGTGGAACCTGAAAGGGCCTGGTGCATTTTAGGCTGGTCAATAATCGGAGGAAGAGGCCTTAACACCCAGACTGTTAAACCATCATTTCATCCCTTCAAGAAGCTCCAGATCAAGACATCTTTATTGATCTCAAGCTGCTGCTGGTATGAAGGTTTTGGTCCTGGCTTTTATATTGGGTCTTAATCTAGAATTTGGTAAAATAAATAAATAAAGGGGGCAGCAAAATGCAAATAGCTGAACTGTTTGACTATTGATCCTGCAATTTTTAAATGTAGTTCCAAATAACACTCCTCACTAGCTCAAAGAATTATGTCTCCCTATTTGTCTTAGCAAGGAGCTAAACTGATGCAACAAGGCTTCAGTAGTTAAAACATTTTTCTGTTATTATTTTCTCAAAAAATGAAAAAGTTATACCTGTAAGGTTTCAAAGCGAACATTATTTCCTATTGGGCTGTCGTCCACGTGGTACTCCTGATCAGGGAGCATGTAAGAGAGGTACACGATCTTGTAGGATTCAACTGTGCGCTCCGAGAAGAAGACAAGAAGAGCGCAGGCCCGGCAGACCTCCAGGTCACTAGGTAGCAAGCCGGCAATGGTTTTGTAGATGATGCTCTTTGTGAGGACATCACAGGGAAGACAAGACTGCAGAGCATTGGCACAGAGCTCCACACAGAACTGGATCCCATCTTCACCCACCTGGTGAGACAAGGTAAATATCCAGTTGATACAGCATCTCCTCTTAAATCTTATCAAATATGTGAAAAAAAGTTAGTCTCAGTCTTACAACTTGCAGTATAGCTCTGATGAACGGGAAAATTGATTTAACATTTGTGGCAGAGCACATCAGCTGACGGCATTCCTTTAGCAGAGCCTGCTTGGACGTATTTAAGCGACTGTGAAGATTAGTCCACACACGAACAAGGTCGCTATGAAGAGTAAGTTAAAACAGCAGTTTATAAACAGAGGAAATTTATTATTAAAATAAAATACATTATTTTGAATATGTTTTGTGGAAATTTAAAACCATCAAAAGAAATGTTTATTCTATTAACAATTCTATCAGTGTACATACCACAGATAGTACATATCTCCTCTCTGGAGTTGCTGTGACAGGAAAGCRGTGCTGAGAGCTAGAAGCAATTTGTCCGTTTCTTCTCTCTCTAAGCTGCAGATGATGTGCACTGCATCTTTACCATTAATGTCAGCCACCTGAAAACAGTGAGCAAAACCTGAGCAACAAAACAAAACAGACAGCCACACTTGTTACCATGTGATTGTTTTATACAAAGCTCCTCCACACACCTCTTTGTGCAAGCGTTCGTGCTGTAAGGTTTTGTAAAGCCATGAGAGGTAAACCTGGTGGAAGAACAGGTGCTGTCTTGCAGTGGGATGCCGTACACAGCATTTAGCCAGTGCCACGGCCTCGCTGACGAGCCCACAGGATGTCAGGTAGCGCATGCGAAGCTCAAAGAAGACCGGCAGCTCAGAGCTGATGTATCTGTCCACTGAAGACAGGCAGAAACACAGCTTGATACGGGAGCACTAACACAATTTATTCTRGAATTAAATTATTACATGTACATCRGTGTTTTGTAGAAATATAAACCGACCTTCATTCTGAGGTAAACTGGACTCGCTGAGGATCGCCTGTAAGGCTCGACTGGCCCAAGGACCTCCATCCTGGACCAAACGCTCCACTTGAAGTAAGTAAACATTCTGATACTTTGCTAGAACCGAATGACATTCCTAGAAAATCAAAGGGACAAGAACACATAAAATATGCAGTTTTGCAGAGGTAAAAAACTAACTTTTAACATGTTCAAAATAAATCAATCTAAACTAAGGCAATCTTGAAAAATTAAGACTCCTGATTWCAAAAATACAGTGTAGTGGTTAGGAATCTGAACTGGTGACTTGTTGATCACAGGTTTGCCTCTCTAACCTCTGCACCACCACTCCCTWCATAGGTATAAAGATAATCTATGTATCTTTGTGTTATAGGACACAACCTATTAACTCAAGCTTAAAAACATCCTAACACTTCCAGTAACTTCTTCAAAAGACTTTAGAACTTTAATATGTGCAAAACATCATGGTAATTAGGGTTGGGCAATATTGGCAAAAAAAATTAATCATGATTAATTGTGGTATTTAGTCGATAACGATTAATTTTATGATTAATCCCCTGGAGTCCCTGGACAATCTTTTGTCCTAGCCACATGACCAATTTAGTGGAAAAGATTTGCTCTTCGTAAAAATCTGTTGCAAATTGTGTCAAAATTAAAGACTTCAGGCTTTACATCAAATTTTAAATTGTGTTGATAGATAAATAAATTACAGAACTTTTTTTAATGTTCATCATATCTGAAGCAGAGAGGAGCACCGAGCGGACTCTGCCTGGTGGTTTTAATCGTATTAATCGTCAAGTGCCAAAAAAATAATCGATTAATGTTTTTCTGGCGATTAATTGCACATGATACGTTTATGCCCAACCCTAATGGTAATATAGATGAATAAAAACTGAAATAAAGAACAAACTGTAACAAATAAACTGAACTGAAAATAAATAAAATGAATAGTAAAAACCAAATCTTTATTTAAGGAGGTAAAATTTAATTACCAAACTAAAATCTGTTTTAGTTTCTTTTTTATTTGGCTCTGCTGGTATGAAGGAACAGAGAACAATGCCAGATATTTATTTCTTCTTGGTTCTGTGTGGAAGTGGGTCCGGGCCACACGCTCACCTGGAATGTAGCAGTGAAGGCTTTGAGTGGCTCCTCGCAGAAGTCCTTCTGGTCGAAGTACAGCAGCAACTCAAACACACTCCTGCCGCAAATGAAAGAAGAAGAATTTTTTTTATAGATTTTAATAAATGTCTTTTTTGCTTTACAGCCTGTGGTGAGGAAGGTGTGGAATCAGTTAACTGTGAAACTGGACAATGATGGAGGAGTTAAAAGAYGAACTGATATCAACCAATAACTGGCTGCACGCCAGCATTATCCCATAAACACTAATGTGCCTCTGTAAGCGATTAAACAARGCATCATTTCATGTCTGAAAAAAATTAACCTAATGGCCCAGAATAGATGCAGACAGCCTGAGCTTGTGTGATGGAAACTAGAAACTGTACTCACAGGACTTCTTTCTGTTTTTTGTTGTTTAACTTCAAACATGTAATTTAAACTCATTGTTCTGGTCTTATCATTGCTCGAAGTGTTTTGTTGAACTGGGAGTGAGATGTTTGCTTTGCAAGGTGTACCTCTCTAAAAATACACTAAACCTAACAATGCCATTATCAATTGCCTAAACTGATGTATGATTAGCTTTTGAGCAGAGATAATGCACAACCAATAATGTTTGTAACCTTTGTGTATCTTGTTTATAAGGTTTTATTATTTTTATTATCTGTAATTTCATTGTGCTCTATACAATGACAAAGTTTTATCTTATCTTATCACACAAGGGTAAACTTTTGCTCCACAAAGATAACAATGTTGTGATTTTGCAGGAAGTACAAACATGATATAAGATGGTTTGTCGTTGCTCTTAGACAGCTGCAGCTCACACTGAAAGAAACACTGATCAGCAAACAAAACGAGTAAAAATTATTTTAACTGGAAACYGTTTTAAATCACGAGTTAAGAGTTACACAGAAACACAAGCTCAAGTAGGGTGTGTGTACTTACAAAGCCAGGCTACTGATTGTGTGCTGCACATGATCACAGTTTGTTGTGAAGAAGGCTGAGGCTCGAGAAAAATAGCAGAGTGCTATTTCAAGGATCCTGAGCTGGGGCAGCGGTACCTGCCAGCGAGAGGCGTATTCCTCCACCAACTGCACAGAGTGAAGACGAGAAGAAAGGTCAAACATAAGGACGACAAAAAGATTTTATAGGGCAGAAAGTGTAGCTAAGACGATGGCTYAGAGTGTACTCGAATCGATACAAACCTCATGTAGTGAGTTTTATATCAGCTTTCATTACACTAGAAATCAATTACAAATTTCACAATCAACATTTTGACTTGACAATCCCACACTGCAGCGAACTGTGAGAAAACGACTCAGAAGCCATTTTCAGAGTAAAACAAGTCCTTTATTAAAGGGATCCCCGATTAGTTGTATCATTAGACTTTATTTGATAAACATATATTTTAACTGTAAAATAAAGACTGTAAAAATACTGTAGGATGTTTAGTTTTGTAAATTTTTATGCATATATTTTAACACGAACTGAACCATTTTGTTCACACACAAAGCATTCTGGGTAAATGATGACGTGGATAGGTCCTCGGTGTGAGGC